TGGTTTGGCTCAGTAATAGAAAGGGTCCTGGGTTTGATTCCAGTCAAGGGCATGTACCTTGCTTGCAGGCCCATCCCCAATAGGGGTGTGCAGGAGGCAGCTGATCGATGTTTCTCTCTCATTGATGTTTCTCTAACTCTATCCCTCTCCCTTCCTCTCTGTAAAAAATCAATAAAATATATTTTTTTAAAAAAAGGACACATGCCCGGATTGCGGGTTTGAACCCCAGTGGGGGGCAGGCAGGAGGCAGCTGATCGATGTTTCTCGCTCATCGATATTTCTAACTCTCTATCCCTGTCCCTTCCTCTCTGTAAAAAATCAATAGAATATATTAAAAAAATAAAAAATAAAAATCAATGGGGAAGTATCTTCGAGTGAGGATTAACTGAGAAAAAAAAAGGGGGGAGATCAAAATAAAATCTTTATAACAATAAAGTGATGTCATTTATTCATAGCTTAATTGTGAAAATGGCAGATGACCTTTCATCTTGATTTTTCTCTTTTAAAAAACACTTGCTAGCAACTTTAGTTCCTCTCAAACTATGTGTTCTTTTTGGGTGCTCATGTATTCTAACTTAAATATGGCAGAGATGCTTTTTAATGTCTTAACCAGATTTCTCATTTCTTATTATCAATTTATAATTCCTAGGAAAATGTTCTTTCAAGTCTTTGAAACATGGATATTCTCCAGTTAATGAAGAAAGGTATGTCCAGGGCCAATCTAGAACAGTTATGTGCCATCTGGGCTATGGTCTTCAAAACCCGCAGGACACGATGACCTGTACGGAGACCGGCTGGTCCCCTCCTCCCATATGCATCCCCGTCAGTAAGTAAACAGCTCCAAGACCCAGGCTATCATTTCCTGAGACCGGGCTTACTTTGGTGGAGCGTTTTATGTGTTGACTCCCAAGCTGAATGGACCAGGTCTTCTTTGTCTTAAAAGAAAGGCACGTTTCGCCTTGGCTGGTGTCGCTCAGTGGTTAGAGGGTGGGCCCGAACACCCAAGGGTCTTCGGTTCGAGTTCCCGAAAAAGGCATGTACCTGGGTTGCAGGTTGGATTCCAGGGATATGCAACAATCGATGAGTCTCTCTCACATAGGTTCCTCTCTCTCTCTCTCATAGGTTCCCTCTCTCTCTCTCTCTCTCTCTCTCTCTCTCTGCCACTCCCTCCCTCCCATCCACTCTCAAAAAAATCAATGAAAAAAAATATCCTTGGCTGAGGATTAACAACAACCAAAACAAAGGTAGTTCAGTTTTTTGTTCTAAATGTGTCTGAAAAGTTCTATCTTTTTGACAGCAAGTAGATTATGTCATGGTATTGAATTAAGTAACGGTGAAGTCAGTCATGAATGTTACTAAACAGCGTTCAATAAAACGGAGATTCAAGTTACAATACTCGAGTATTACACTGAAGCCATGCTCTGTGTTCACGGAAGAAGAATTTAAAATACAGTTTACATTAAAAATAAATACACCGCCTGCCCAATGTCACATATACTGTATTTTGCTGCCAACCATTTCACCTATGGTGGTATGTATTTTTAAAATATATTTTTATTGATTTCAGAGAGGAAAGGAGAGGGGGAGAGAGATAGAAACATCATTGATGAGACAGCATCATTAATAAGCTGCCTCCTACA